TGTAAGTCAGCACGTGAGAACGCATACCAAACCCGCCCGAGTCCTAACCCTAGTATACAACTCGGCCTCAGTCAGGCCACGAACTGACACCAAAGCCCACTAAATCTCACAGTCAGACCTTGGCTTCCGCTACAGAGCTACTGCACAGTAAATACAAGCCTCCTCTTTTTACCAAATAGGCAATACTTAGCAAGTGCTTGGCAGCACTATACACGAGATGTTATTCCAAGGCAAGATACAGTTAGAGGTCAGGAAAGGCAAGCTCTGCTCCTTACAGGAACAGGATGAGCCACCAGAAATAAAGCATGTTCCCTCCACCTGCAAAATATTCCCTCCTCGTAATGCCATTTCAACCTGGTAATTGCAAGGTGGCACTCCAGAGAGGAGATACCTTCTCCACGTCCTTACCAGGGAGGATGCAGCAACTACCAAGACCATCACCACATGGAGGGCACGAATGCTTGCAGGGATGCCCTCATCTGTTTGTAAGAACCTGGATGTGCAAGGGTGTAAAAGCCTCACTCCCCCAGCAGAAGCACTGCAGATTTCAGCTGCCAGATCGGCTCCTTATCGGGCAGTGTGTGGCTCCGGTAAGCTGTTTGGATAAAACCTCACTCACATCAGTTCTCAGCAGGCTATTAGCCTCAGGAGACCACCTGCCCTTTTTCTTATTTTAATCAGATTTCTTTTATTTCTTCCAACAGCTTCTCTGTAAAGTTCCTGTGCTGAGATCAAAGGCTATGGCTGCACTCACCCCGCATCCTGCAATAACAACCCACCAACACCAAGAGGAGTTCACCTGACAGATTTCTTAAGCTAACGCAGCCTTGAACATGCACAATCCTTGGGTGACAGATCATTTGCACTACAAGTCACATGCTGTGTTGAAAACATACACCATGTGTTAGCTAGAAAACACACGAAGGGCTGCTTCCCAGAACACTACAGCAAGGCTTGCATGAACACCCTTCATGCACGTTTCCTTTCACTCGTGCCAAGGGAGATTTTTTTAACACTGGCATTTGTATTTGTGTGTGGTGTGTGTATTTGACTACTTTCAAAGGCAAGCATTTCGGACCTGGCACCATGGGAGTTTGGGACTGAACAGCAGAAGACAGCCAAATTTATACCTGCCCCACGTACACACACTTACCTGTGAAGAACGTACTAGTGCAACACGAGGCTGATGCACTCATACCACTCTTTTCATGGAGGACTTTTGTATTCCTTTTTTTTTTTAAAAATCCTTTTCATCAAAATGATTCATATCCATCAGCTACCACAAAAATGCTCAAAACTCAATACCCTTAGACAAATTCCACAGTCTCAGCAATATTTCCGCTTTCTTCTGAAAAGCACCAGCTGACTCAAGCCCCTTCCACGCACATAGTTCAGAAGACACCACACATGTCTTTCCAGAGCAGATAGTTGAAAACAGTCTCACAAATCCTAGCACAAATGCTGTCAGAAAAACACTTTGGGGTGGGGTGGTGATGCTTAGTGCCAAACTCCAGCAAAAAAATAAACTTCAGTAAAACAAAGTCACTTTTAGTAGAAACAAATGATACCATCTCCATGTGCACCTCCTTTTGCCATGCCAGCCTCACTCTTCACTGAAAACCTGCAGACAGTTACAGTGGGAAACAGAGGACAACTTGAACATGACGGCTGGCCAAGACAGTCAAGAAGAGAGCTTCGATCCTCCACAAAGCATCTCTTGATGCATGGAAAAACTGTCCATGGAGCAGCCATTCTCTCAGCATTACTTTCCAGGTACTCTTCATATCCCTTATTCAGCACCTCCACAGCTCTCAACGCATCACTGTTGATGTACTGTCTGCTCTCAGCCTTCTCCTCTCTCACCATTTTTTTCTCTCTGTGATTTGATCCCCTTCTTCACTCTGGAGCCCTACTCTATCAGAAGTCCTCCCAACCAACCCTGACCTCTGCTTTCAACAGGAGTCCCACAACATCCCGCACTTCACCCATCTTCTCAGCTAAGCCACCCAACTTAATGCTCAGCACCTCTTGCCTTTTGCCTCTTCTTGCCTACTTTATTCTCCCAGCATCACCTTCCCAAGAAAAAAAAACTGGAAGCCACTGTCTTCCCTGTTTTCTCTCTCTCCTGTAACCACAGCTTTCTGTTCTTTTGTCTCCTTGACTTACCTACCAGTCATGCTCCATCTAGCTCTCGCAAGGGTCACTCTCATGCTGTTTCCTTTACTGCTCTCCCCTGGCTTTTCCTTAATACAGGAACACTATAATTTCCAAAACCCGCCTCATCCCACGTGGGTTGCTCATCTTTGTCTCCAATCCCACCAAGAGAGCTACTGACAGCTGCTTTCCCCAGCCCTCACCACAACACCTCCCATACAGCTTCAACACCAGCACTCCAACTAAAACAGCTCTTGTGGATGTCTCCAGCAACATTATTTTACAGAGACCCCACAGCAAGGAGCCATCATGCTCCAGAGGGGTGGGAGCAGAGAGGACTGGTCTACCCCCACCCTGCTATTTTCCCCAGAAATCTGATTAGGGCTTTCTCAGCTGTTTCCTTCTCCTTTAGCTCCTATCACCTCCCACATACAAAACATCTTTTCTGTAAGTCAAGTCCACAGGTTGTACCTCTGACAGACCTTGTTAGCTCCTGTTCAAAGTGAGACAAATGGAAAAAAGATCGAAGAAAGATTATTTCATATGTTTAGTGTGGCCAAAACAGCCACTCCTCTTTCATCCTCTTCTTGTCAACACAAAATACGCCTCCATCCTAGTTGGCTACTGGAGCTTGTAAGCCTGAGGACTATCATCAGCATGCTCTTGGTGCCTCTCCAGCATGAAACATGGTGCCATACTGGACCTTGCTAAGAGGCTGTATATTTCTGTTCAGGTTAACAGGTGTTTACACACTTTTATGTGTACTTTAAAGCAGAAGCTACTAATAATATTCTCCTTCCAGCAAGTCTGTATTTTTAATCTTCTACCCAACTAACCTGCTCCTCAAGAGCTTTCCTAAAAGGCCATGAAGCCAAGATATATCACATGCAGCAGCAAAGAAAAACGCCAGCATGAAAGCTATTCGCAATCTTAGGTACAATAAATTCCTGCAAGGCATCTACTTGAGTTAGCTATATCAGCAAAATGCCTATCTTAGCTTTAACCCCTGTAGGTGAAGCATGTTTAAACGAAAGTCGAATTTCCAAAACTGGTAAGTTACATCTATACCTTAACGCCACACTAAACTACTTTTCACTCATCTGGGAATAGATAAGAAACAGCCTATCAATGGAAAAGCTGACGTAGTTTACCATTCCCACAGCTCATGCTGATTCAGCAGAGCAGCCTGAAGTGCAGCACATCCCTAACCCACCTGAAGGCCACAGCGGTTAGACATCACTTCAGATACATATCAGATATGAACAGATCCTGCAAGATGTACATCTTGTATGCAACTACTACAGTGCACTCAGTGAAGCACATACAATATGCATATCATTTTCACCCTGGGCTGATTTCCAATCTCAAATCTTACAGCTATGACCTCTGCAGATCCCATCAGAACACAGATCTAGAGACGAATAGCTCTGCCACTGATAGCTTTAACAACCAAGTAGTCGTAAACAAGTACTGACACTGGGTAGTTCTCCTGGATCAGAAAGGAAAGAGACCACAGAAGTCCACACAACCAAAATGTTAACTGCTATCTCCAAACTCAGTGACTCCAAAGCCAACCAAATGAAACCAGTTTCAGTTCATTCAAGCAAACACAGCCTGAGCCAGCAGCAAAATCTCCGTCTCGTATAAAGCACGACTTGGTTTGCTAGCCACAGATAACTAACATCAAAGTACAGGTAGAAAAGGTCTTACATTTAAAGGGACACTCCATCTTAGCTCAGCAACGCAAAGGCACAGTCTGCAAGACTGAGAACAGACCACACAAAGTTCTGTCTCACATGATACTAATTAAAAAGTATTAATTTTCTTCAGCAAGGTTTAGAACTCCAGAAAGAACAAAAGCTACACATCTGCAAGACACAGCCAAATCCAGCTGCTCATACTTGCAGACCAGAGTCTCCTAAAATGCCACGATCACTATGGAGCCTGTCAGGGCAATGCTCCCAACCATGCAGTTGCGCAAACACTCGAGGTTACGGGTGCTCTACTCTAAAGACAGTGCAAGACTAAGGGCAATTTTTCATGTTTCACATTGTGCTAAAGTGCAGCCTGCCTCATGGTGCCACCATGAAGAGGATGCAATCTATGGCACTGGGAGAATTGGAAGTTATTCTACAAATAACTTCTTTATATATAGAATATGAAAGTTACTGAGGTTGAATTACCGCACGTTGTCCTGAAATAACTTGTTCAGTCCTCTTAAGTAACATTCAATTCAAAACAACTTGGGGTGCAATGGATATTTGGGTTACAGGCGGCAGCAGGACAATATATTAAGTCTCAGGCACTAGTTCTGCAGGGAGGGAGGCAGGCAATCCACCTCGTTTCCATACCAACTCCAGCCCAATGACAACCATCAGCCTGCACGTTCAACACACAGGGCAATGTGAGGGACCAAGCTTTCACATTAGATGTAATAGAAAAACATTCTTTACTCTGCAAGTGTCTTTACAAATATATATTTATATATTTAAGCCCATTTCAGGCCATAAAAGCCCATAAAAAAACAACCAGTACCTTTTTGAACAAGAGAAACTGCAATCCAGAAGTCTGAGGTGAAAGACTCCCACACAAGGGCTGCTTTGGCTCTTCTCTGAAGGCCTCTATTTAGCACATAAAACCATCTTAAAAAAATCACATCAGCCTTTTATCTGCAAGGAGGGGTACCGTTTTTACCCCATCTTTACTACTTTCTGTATGAGGTAAACTGGAATCACTTTTACATAATCACTTACTGCTTTAAAAGGGGGATATTGTATCCTGAAGACCAGCTTTTCCAAAAAACATTCATGAATGAGTTAAAAAGTAAGATGCCGCTTGTGGATCCAACCACAATGTGCTGTTGTCTCAGAATAGAAGAAGTTGATACTAAAAAGCTATTCCAGATACATACAAGTACAAACACTAGAGCTGGTCAGAAAGATACACTTTCAACATTTTTAAAAAGCAGGGAAAGTTTTCTGAAGTGGGGCTTTTGCATTCACTTCCCCTATCCTCATTTTTCTACCAGTTCCATATACCCTTCAAAAAAAAAAACCACCAGAATCACGTGTCTGTTGTAAGAGTGCAAAGTCCATCCAAATCTCGTGTTTAAGTTCACTATCACTACACTTTAAAAATCCTGATGGCAAATAAAAAGGTCTCAATTTAACTTAGCAAAAGTGATATCTAGAAAATATTCAACATCAAGAGGTCTTACAAAAAACTTCAGACTACTAAAGCATTCTAAGGCACAGTGTTTTGGAAGAAGTGCTTCCTCCCTTTAGTGTTGCTTTATACACATCACGTGTGTGAGTCCGAGTGACGCATGGAGCTGCAGATGTGTGCCATGCCTTCTCCCAATCAGCGAATTGAATCTTCTTCTGCAGTTTCAGACATAGGCTCCCAATGCTGCATGAAATTCAGTTAGACATTGCACCAGCTGCTGAAACTTAGGTCTTTCTTCAGGATCTAGGGCCCAACAGCAGGCCATCACAGCAAACCTGCAAGACAAAGACAGATGGAAGACATGAGAACATAAGCCAGGTGACCACAGTCCCAACCTGAGAACGAAAAACAGCATTTGCCACTCAAAAACCTGCTGATCAGAGAAAGAAAAGAAACCCTGTATCTTCTGATGCACGATGCTGAACAACTCCTTCAAAAGACAGACACCCAAAATGATCAATAAATGTGCTGTGACCAAAAGTGCCAGTTTGATTTAAGATACAAGCCAGAGGCAATCCAAGAGGAAGCAATACATAATTTGTCAGAAATTGCTCAACTATTATAAAAGTATAGTTCAAGGTGGTAGGCTTACAGGAAGGGGATTTAGAAGAACATGTGAGGCAGAGGTAGTGCCTGTGCTCTTGCATTCTCCTATATCATTAGAATTATGAATAAAGACCTCAAGCACTGCCATTAAGCTCATCACACGCAGCACTTCTCCATAGTCTTGCTGAGAGAATGGTCGCTTCCTCTACCTAGAAACCTAGTGGCTTCCTACACTGCAGTCCCACAAACACTAATGGCTCCTGGCCCCTTTGCCTCCCTCCTCACATCCTGATGATCAACCCCACTTCTCCCATGTGTCAGAATATGGAAAGGAGTTGGGTCGGGATTAAGTGAAACTCAACAACAACAACAAAAAAGCATTTAATTTTAGCCTGAGTTCCTTGACATAGGTCACTAAAGCCACAAGAATACTTACACGAGGCTCAGCCTAAAAGGCAGAGTAAACAGGCAGGGGAAGGCATACTTGGCTCCTTCATTGATAACACTGGCTTAATGTGCTGGTTACAAAATAGACATTTCACCCTCTCTCCAAAAACATGCACTTACAGTTCATCAGGGCAGTTGATTGGCTGAGCTATTCGATAGCCATCCTTTAAATAAGCAGCCATCTCAAAGGGGTCGATATCCACATACGGAGTCTGTCCTAAAGTCATCAGCTCCCACAGTGTTACTCCAAAGGCCCACTAAAAAGAAATCGCATACAGCATTGACAGAGCATGCCGAATTTTGAGAGTTCCTTCAGATGTTCCACAAAATCAGTCATGAGTAAGACTATATAGAGTAAGAAAGCTTTACATGAATGCTATGTATATATCTATATTTATCTATATCTATATCTATCTATATATATATCTCTCCATATCTATCTATATATATATATCTCCAAGTTCAACATGACAATACTTTGTCTTGAATAGGGACAATTAAGAATCACAGAACAGGTGTTAGGTTGAACTAAAATGGAAGTCTTAGTGCACTAAGATTTAAGCGCTAAAAATTCATGTATTTACTGCATTTTTCCAGTATGACATTTTAAAACACTTAATAAATCTAAAGAATATTAAACACTTAACTTATTGTTTTGAAAAAATTAACAATTTTATACTACATTTTATCTATTCAAAACAGTACACAAATTCCTCAGAAAAGGTCTCTGAAATTCAAAGGTTCAGCAAAGCAAACTGAATGAAACCATCGTTTTTTAAAATCAGTCATCTGTATATTTTGAGTATATGCTCAGAAGTAGGACGCATGAGAAAAATGAAGATTTCGCCTAAGTAAACCTGACAGTTGATCAGCATACAACACATCATTCAGCCGAAAATACTTGCCAAAAAGAGCTTAAGGTGATGAAAAAAAATCAAGCAGTCAATTCACGGGCAAGCGCACTAGAAGTAAAATGGACTCCCCAGTTCAAGAAAGATGAAGAGCTACTGGAGAGAGTCCAGCGGAGGGCTACGAGGATGGTGAGGGGACTGGAGCATCTCCCCTACGAGGAGAGGTTGAGGGAACTGGGCTTGTTCAGCCTGAAGAAGAGAAGGCTGAGAGGGGACCTTATAAATGCCTACAAATATCTGAAGGGTGGGTGTCAGGAGGATGGGGCCAAGCTCTTTTCAGTGGTGCCCAGTGACAGGACAAGGGGCAACGGGCACAAACTGAGGCACAGGAAGTTCCGTCTGAACATGAGGAAGAACTTCTTTCCTCTGAGGGTGACGGAGCACTGGAACAGGCTGCCCAGGGAGGTTGTGGAGTCTCCTTCTCTGGAGATATTCAAGACCCACCTGGACAAGATCCTGTGCAGCCTACTGTAGGTCAGGAGGGTTGGACTAGATGACCCCCAGAGGTCCCTTCCAACCCCTACTATTCTGTGATTCTGTAAAATGATTTACTACCTGGTATCAAGAGAACCAAGAGACAGGACATAGATGGTGCTGATACTGCACACTGATGAGTCACTGCTGAAGTTACAAGCACTGCAAACATCATGACTTATTAAAAAGGGGCAGAAATCTGCAAGCCTCGAAAGATTGTTGGTTTTTAATCAAAAGAAACCCTGCTGCCCTCTTGGCCAAAGCCTTAACTAAGGGATGCTGTCAGTGGACGCTGATGGGAAGCACAGAGCTGGAGAATGGCGGGGGCACAGATGCAGCCCCCGCTCCGAGCGGAGAGGGAAGGCAGGAGAGAACATACTTTTTATTTGCAGTTATGAAAAATGTCAAGGGACAAGTGGTGGTGCACCTAGAACATGAGAATAAAGGGCAATTCAAGCAAAACTACTTTGAGAATATAGCTATTTCTAACTCCCTAAGTTCCTGCATAAAAATGGCCTAGAAAGATGCAGAGCTTCACGTCCAACAGAGGGGAAAAAACCCAAAGAATTAAAATTCAACAGGAATCGTGTTTTGTTTTTCTATGCTGACTAATATAACTGTTGGCAGAGGAGGAACGCATTAGCAATGTTTCAAGCCAGCAAAACAATTTTAAAGAAATGCATCCAAAAAGCAATCCTAGAACACATGCCAATTGCATCTTGCCAGACATCACCTAAATTGTTTGTAACAGATTTCATCAGCGATTATAAGCTACATGCCATTGATGACCAGATTTGTCCTAGCAAGCAGACAAAAACATACACCACCACATTGGTGAAAAGCATCCACGTAAATAAAAAAGATGGTATTTAGGACAGATAGTATTTTCTACACCCAGAAAAACTGTCCATTTTTGAGTACTGCCAAACTCAGACAGTTACGTATGCACAGTTAAGAACTATGTATTAGCAGCTGAGTTGCATTTATCCCTGTATAATGCAAAAAGGAGTTCTGTGCTAAAGTAGTGTGGACAATATGCTGAACTGCACTAGAGTTCTCTGAAGTGGTTATCATACTGAGGTGCCTTCATCCTAATAAAACTCCAAATTTCACTGCCAGTGTTACACAAGCTTTTATTTCCAAGTCCAGTCTTCACTAACAGTGAACGCTCTCATGTTCCAGATTGAAAAAAAAAAAAAGAGAGTAAGAAATCAACATTTAATTGATCCCATTTATTATTATAAAAACATGCTTTTAGAGGCAACTTCTATTTCCTGCTCTGTCTTCAAGTTTGGTGTAACACAAAACCCCACACATTTTCCAGTGAGTAGGGAAGTATTTCTGGAGCAGAGCTGACTCTCCTTCCCTTCCTTTTTTTTTCCTGTGGCTTGAGCACTAGTACAGAGACCATGGCAATGAGGGGGAAAAAAAAGAAACAAGCAGAACTTTTCAGAAGTTTTCTAAACTAGCACATTTTAAGATGCAGATTACAATCTCTGGATGTAGCCATGTTAAGGAAAGCATCACTACCGAAGAAAATACCCCCTTAGCAGACAGACACAGATCATAAGGGCTAATGGTTTACCATTAATTAGCAGTTTAATTACCAGAGGTCGACCTTCAAGGACAAGCTCCTGTAAGCACAAGAACAGTCCATTTTGATGTGCAGGAAGCTGAGCAAGCATGGTAGAAGGCCACCACGGATGCACTGACTAAGCTCAGACACTAAGGAAGGAAAGAGAGGGTGGAAGCAGGAGAAAGCTACTTAAGGAATACAGTGAGAATAAATCAGGATGCAGGGATGGAGTTTGGAAAACCAAAGCTCAGCAGAGTAAAACAAGAAATGTCCACAGAGGGAAACATCTAGACTGCACTGAAGCCAAGTGTGTACACACCAGACCACTGTACCAGACAGGATGCATCCAAGAGTGCCAAAGGAGCAGGCTGAACTCATTGCAATACCGCTCTCACCATCTCTGAAAGGCCACCACAACTGGGAGAGGTTGCTGACACCTGGGAAAAACGCATCCTCTTGAAGAAGTGGGATTTGGTGAAGTATGGCCAGGTACTCTAACATCAGCTTCTGCTAATGTTGGGGAGCATGTGATCCTGGAAGTCACTTCCATGTGTCTGAAGCATAAAGGTGTCTGGGAACAGCCAACGTGGATTTATCGAGGGCAAACTGTTCCTGACTAAGCTGATTAGTTCTTTGCTGAGAAGGCAGTGTTAGTGGACACAGGGTGAGCAATGGATGTCCGCCTTGACTTCAGCAAGGCCTCTGACATTATCTTCCACAGCATCCTTATACCACACTAGTGAGATGTTGACATTAAAGTGGCTGTATGGCTGGACTCAAATTGCTGTTACCAGCAGTAGTAGTCCAACTAGCAGCTGGTTACTAGTGGCATTGCTCAGGAATTCATACTGTTGTATCTTCAGTAACAACCTGGACTCTCAGGAAGTTCATGAATGATACCAATCCGAGCAGAGTGGCTGACAGGCTGAAGGACAGGGATTCTGCAGAAGTACCTCAAGAAGCTGGAGAAATGGGCTGACAGGAACTTTAAAGTTCAAGGAAAGCAAATGCAAAGGCCTGCATCTGGGAGAGCACAGCTCCACGCACCAGGACTGGCTGGGGCTGACCACCTAGAAAGCGGCTTAGCAGAAAAGGACCTGGGGATCCTGGTGAACAATCTGAATGCATCAGCAGCATGCCCTTGAAACAAAAAAAGCCGGCTGCATTCTGCACTGTGTTAGCATAAGTGTGGCCAGCAGGTCAAGGGAAGCAATTCCTCCCCTCTTTTCTCTATCTGTGAGGCTGCAACTGAAATACTCGGTTGTGGACTCTGGGTCATGTTCATTCAAATAGCAGACACATTCCAATACAGATTGCTCACTGAATTTAATTGCCTTTTCTGCTAATGCTACCAAGGAGAACAGCACGCAATGGACAATTTTGCCATGCAAGAAGGGCCTGCTTGACCTTTGAACTATCTGCCACGAGCAGCAAGTGCAGGAAGCAAGCGTATAGATGCTGTTCTGGACAAACCAGTGTTATCTCTTCAGTGCCATGATTCTCCAAAGGGTGAAAAAAGGGAAAAATGTCAACAAAATACATTTACAAAATGTAAGAGAAAAGAAAAAAACAACAACTTACCACATCGCTAGCACTGGAAAATTCATTGTTAACCAGGCTTTCAAGAGCCATCCATCGAACTGGTCTGTTTTCATTATCTCCCAGGCAATGGTAGTCCATAGGAAATAGGTCTCGAGACAGCGCATTGTCTGTAATCTTAACCTGAAGTGCATCGTCAATGCTAATTTAAAAAAAATAGAAGTATTTAGCAAACCTGGCATCACAAGTTTACAGAAAATATTTGTGCTCAACCTTGAGTTTCAGACTCAATATTTAATTGAAGAAATTAATTGCACTATCAACACTTCAAAGGACTAGCAGTCTTCTAGATGAAGACACACTTATTCTGTGATTATCAAATATTATCAAAGAACATACTTATTTTGCATTAACAGATAAGCACTAGAAAAATCAGGAGTCCTAGATTAAATAAAATCAAAAATTTACAAGTGCAAAAAATAGTTAAAACAAACTCCTCCCTTCAGTTATTCCTCCTCCCTTGGAGATCCCCTGTCAGATCAATTAAAGAAATTTTAGCTATAGTACCTCTGTAGCAATAATGAGCCAAAGATTTAAGCAAAGCCACATCTAGTAATATCTTGTTAAAGCAACCCATATTGTTCACGGCCTAAAAGCTCGTCTCTAATCAAGTAATGTGGTAAGATATTTATTCCCCTAAACAAGAGATACTCATTCTGACTGTTGTCAGAAAAAGCATGCTGGCTAAGGGAAACTTATTTTTAATCAACAAAAGATGACTCAAAAAAAGCACAAGGAGCCTACTGATTCCCACCCCCCCATGGGGATGTTAATTCACATTCTTTTGAACTTAAAAAAAGTGTATAATAGAGTTCAGTGTTCTCATAAACAGCTGACTTCAGAATATGGGTCGGATGTTAGCTTTAACATCTTACGACAAAAATATAGAAAGAACATTGGGTTAGGGGGACTGTAATGAAAGTGTTTGCTGTCTTTTGATCTTGTCAATTTTTTTTTAAATGAGAAAAATTAAATAGAAATGCTCAATTTGTGTGTTTCCTGCTTCACTATCTGAAGTATCGTATTTTTCCCCACTTCTATCCACTTTCAGGTCAATTCATTGCCCTCAAAAATTTACAGACCAGGAAATTTGCATATCTAATCACTCTTATGAGCTTAGAGAAATTCCTAGAAGACCTGTCTATTAACAAATACAATACAAAGGGTAATTTTCCAGTGACTAGAGAGCTCTGACTTGTGTAATCCATATGTCCCCTGTAACTGGGCCCAACTGTGCCATGGGCATTTGAGACCAGAAGCATTTCCCCCTTTAACAAACCTGCCAAGACCACTGCGATCCTGGCCCCCTTCCCAAAACTAGGGCACAGGCACATAGGTCTGATACACTTCACACCAGCTCCTCCCAGTCTTTCACTCTACAGGAACAGACCCAGGGAACAAAGGATTGGCAGACAAACAAAGCCCTTCAAAGAATCCTGGCTACTGGCATCCTCTTTTCCTCTCTAGGCTTAGCCCAGGATTTCTTGAACTGCAGCACAGATCAGGAGATGCTCAGCTCCCGCCTCCATTTCCCACGGACAAGAAGTGCCAGGTCCCCTGTGAATTGATTTGTATTGCCAGCACTCCAGATCACACGTATGGCAGCTAACATGAAGCTGGACTTTGCCCCAGGAGGGCAAGGAGTCAAGCAGGCTGGACTGCCAACCCTTCACACAGCAAGGACACGAGACAATTAATTCACTGCACAGAAACGAGAGGTTGTCACAAGGTAATTTCCCTGGCACATTCTTTATGATCTTTGTCTCCTGTGGTAACACTTCTTCTTCAACATGCTCACCAGAGAAGAAAAGCAAGCAGAGTCTCTAAGGAACTGTATCAAACCGAGCGTCCTTACGTAGCACAAGAGCCAGAAAACATTCTGCTGGACCAGCTTGATGGCACCAGTTTAAAAGCACGAGGGACGGCTTCACGGTGGATCTCACTGCTCCCTCTGCCCCAGCATTCGCTACACCAACAGTGCCTGATGCCAGCGGTGCCAGTACAACAGGTGATTAGACAAAAGAATATCCCAGGACAAGCATGAGTGCTTCAGTGTCTCCCAGCTTTTTCTCTCAGCCCCTGGGATGCAGTGTCAGAAGCTCTGTTGGCTCCAGTTGCGATGTTTGAAGAACTGGGCAAGAGACTGCACCTCAGAGGACCAAGTGGTTTTGTGGACAGAAGCACAAAGGACAAAAGTTGTAGCACTAGTGACCCCTGACAACCCACAACCCTGACGGGCCAGGCAGGGCAGTCAGTCCAAATTTCAGGAGCAGGACCTATCCTGATATTGGAAATGTGACCCATATTTTACTACTAATTGCTGCGCCAGATGTTCAGAGCTCTCTAATGGACACCAGTGGCATGGCCCCAAGGCAGACCATACACAGAACAGTATGCTGTCCATGAACAGTGCAAAGACAGGAACTGGGCTTCTACTTCAAGGACTATGTGGGAACAATCAAAGCAAACCCCAAATCAAAAATGGGTACGACACTGTGGTTCAACAACCGTGCCTTGAAGCATCCTTGGAGGCATTTCCAAGGGTACACGTCAAAAATGGGTACAACACGGTGGTTCAACAACTGTGCCTTGAAACATCCTTGGAGGCATTTCCAAGGGTACACGAGAAAACATGTCAGCAAATAAGGAAAAACACAAAGGTGGCAAAAAGTTGAAGGAGATGGAAGAACAGGAACTGAGACAGTAACCCAGTCACTCCTCCTGCCTGGGCAACTCAGAAACCTGAATATTCAAGAGCGTGCTCCAGTCTTTACACCCTTGCACTGACAGAAGACAGGGCCTGAGAAAACCCTGCAGGCATTGCTAAGGCAAAAAGCCTCCCAGATTACATGTGATCACAGAATCACAGAATGGCAGGGGTTGGAAGGGACCTCTGGGGATCATCTAAGTCCAAGCCCCCTGCTAAAGCAGGGTCACCTAGAGCAGGTTGCAAAGGACCTTGTCCAGGTGGGTTTTGAGTATCTCCAGAGAAGGAGACTCCACAACCTCCCTGGGCAGCCTGGGCCAGTGCTCCGTCACCCTCAGAGGGAAGAAGTTCTTCCTCATGTTCAG